GCACTTTGTTCAGAACCGGAACACCTAAGATGTAAGCAAATTCTTCCAAAGTCGGAACCAACACGTAGTCCGAAAATGTGAAGCATCTCAGTGGAGGATCATAAAACTGCAATAGGGTATGAATAGCTTCATGCTCATAAGTCGTGAGCTTACGGAAAAACTTCAGAATTCCACCATATTGTTCTCTGAAAGTTGCAAGAACACCAGGCTCAACCAGGGAAATCAGACCAAATAAAGGTCCCAACTCAGGCGCCGGAAGCTTGTACACAACAATCCTCTTTCTGCTAACTTCCATCTCTGAAGAAGACCAGTACCAGAATCAAGGGAAAGACGAGAACCTGTAACACACATAAACATGCAATGTTAAATGCAGAATGATTATGCAAATGCACACATGAGATCAAGGTATCCAATGCTCAAATTCACTATCATGTCATTGACTGAATTCAACCAGAGCTTCGCTCTAATCAGAACACACTAGATAGAACACTCAGGATCAAAATTATGCACTGATGAGAAAACCAGGGTTGGTTGAAGGCCTGGTTTCCTGTAAAAACCCATCCCTCTCACATGTGGGTTCTAGTCTTGAAAGGTACGACATCCTATGCGGGTGGTCAGCATCACAGACTTTCGAGAAACGATGATACATTCACCGTTTCCGGTTTGGCATCATAGTCTAACGAAGCGGCCTCACTTAGCTGACTTCCCAAAAGAACGGTCTCCAGAGTCAACAGTCTCTCTAAGTCAATATTCCCTCAACTGCACCAGACGCGCAAGATAGAATATTTCCAAAGAAAAACCTCGTCTGAATGTGAATTTCACGCGAGCTATTGTGCAGCCAAACACCACACAAGCTCCCGCTAATCTCCACTCTAATCCTATGGGTATACTCAAGCCCAGGTCCGACTTATCTCTCAATAGAACAACCCAACCCACAACACAGCAGCAACAAAAATGCAATGCAATAATATACAACAGATAATGTACATAAAGCAAAAACTGCACAAAAGTAAACACCCAAAGACGCAACAGACAAGCGCTAGGAGTGACTCGCATAGGGAACCATCGTAGTGTCCAGTAGAGTCGCCAACTATCACAACTGCGAAAAACACCCGGCGGAAAACAGAAAAGTCGCCACCTTTCGTTATTTATCCCAAAGAGAGGGAAAGGAAACGATCGGAAAAACCTACCAAAAAAGGGAAAAGACAAGGTCATCGCAACTAAGTCCTGGATTCGGGAGTCGATTACGTAAGGGGAAGGTATTAGCACCCCTCACATCCGTCGTACTCGATGGGATCCACGCTTGTTGTCTATCTAAGGGTGTGTTTAACTATCTACGCTACAGGCTTGCGGGACAAAAAGAAAAGAAAAGAGACTCGACAGAGCATCGCCACTTTGTGCCTATGTACTTCCTCGTGCAATGGGAAAGTCAGAGTCAGCGTAGTTCGGCTAACTACGGAAGAGAGGGGGAAGGTTGCTAGCCAAGACGTCGCGTCTTGTGCCTACGTACTTTCATATGGTATGAAAGATCAGAGTAAATGTAGTTCGGGCAGACACGAAACCACGGGTTGATTAAGTGTTTTAACCGAGTAGGGTTAAACATCCGTTCCAGCAGTTAGGGACTAAGCCTGTTTGCGGTAGAACCGAAGCTTAACAACACTCTTTTCTGGAAAAAAAGAAGTTACCGATTAATCCCGAAGGAAAAAGGTTTGAATTTTGTTTTGTCAGTGAATTAATTTGGTTTGTGATTCACGTTGCACTAAAGACTATGACATGAAGGCGAATGCGTCGTATATCGCCCCCAAACGGGACGTATACTAAATACCCTAGATAAGCGAGAGGAGACCCCTCACTCATCATTCCCCATGTAGCTTAAGGCTCATAGCGTGCAACATTTATCGCCTTTATTAGATGAATTAGAATGGTTTTGAGATGAGAAGACAGACGCACGGAAGGTCTAAGGGAAACTCGGCCCTAACTTCGTCATGCAAAGTGGTCCTAAAGTTCGGATGAAAAGGGGAAACATCTACCCTAATGTTAGCATACTTGGATTGAGCACCTAATGTCTCTCCTACTCCCATCCTAAACGGAGGGACTAGGAATCCTATAGGGATCATGGCAAAAAGTACAAGAAGAATAAAGGAAGGATCAATCACAAGTAGAAAAATGCAAACATGAAAATGCACACTTAGAATGGTGGGAGGGAGGAAAAAATGTGTGGGGCAGCAGCCACCACAAGCGCGTCTCGACCTCAACAACGATGCAAGAATGCTGAAAACATGAGGAGTAAAGCAAGAGATGAAAGCAAACGAACATGCAAACAAATGATTACTTCGAACCACATACATAAGCATGCAAACAATTGAAAAATGATCATACATGTCAACAAAATCATGATTAATCAACCACAAACAGTGACAAGTATTCAAAAAAATTAAATCCTAATGCATCACACTGATCTATGATGATTCGAATCGAAACGGTATGCAAACAAGCAAGCAAAACAGCAAATATGACATTCTGGCACAGTGTTAATCGGTTAACACATACTGTTAATCGGTTAACAACTTAAAAAGTTTGGAAAAAACTGAAGTTTTGAACAGGTTAATCGGTTAACCATATGCGTTAACCGATTAACACTGTTAACGTTTGAAAAAATTTTGAAAGTTTGAAATGGTTAACCGGTTAACCATATAGGTTAACCGATTAACACTGCATTGGAAGCTAAAAACAGCAGCAGAAAATCACTTCCAGCACAAAAACAACTTATCCAAGGTTCCAACAGATCAACTTATCGATTAAGCACGAAATTAACAATAGAAAACAGAGATCCAATAGCATGGATACACAATTACACAACAATATCACAAATCGAATTAATCGGAATCAACAAAATTCAATCGAATATGAAGATTAACATGATAAGCTCAAAAATTAAATCGGATCGAGAATTCCAACCTTCAAAGCAGAGATTTGCTTCAGTAAATGTTGATCAACTGAATTTGAGCAGATCAAATGCTAGAAATCCGGAAAACTTTAAGATCCACAATAATTGTTGTATGAATGAAGATCCACCAAATTTGAGTCAAAAGGCTTCAAATAATCACTTCTAGATCCAACTCCAGATTCAGATCCAAGCTTGCACGAAAATTGAAGATGAAAATTGATTTAATGGTGATGGTAAATGGAGGTTTATGCTCAAGAATCCATTGATTCCAATGAAGAATCAAGAATTCCAATGGAAAAGAGCTTTGAGTGAGTTTTGGAAATGGAGAAGTTGAGAGAACTTGAGAGAATTCTAATCAATTCTGAAAAATGAATGTGAGAAATGAAAATTAGTTGGTGAGGTTTGGAGTAAATCACTTAAATATGACTTAGGTTTGGATCCCAAAGCAAGGTTTGGAAATTGGATTGGAAATCAAGGTTTGGAAAGTGAAATGGGATTTTGGAGGGAAATCTGAAATTTAAAGATGTTCTTGATCATTCCCAAAGTGAAAATTTGAATTCCAAGGGGATCAAAATTGGACCCCAAGTGCAATTGGCTTGCAAAATCACGTACAAGAGAAAATCTGCTATGGTTAACCGATTAACCATATGCGTTAATCGGTTAACACTGTTAAAATTCCAAATCTTGGCTAATTTTCCTTTGGTTAATCGATTAGCCATATAGGTTAACCGATTAACACCTTCAAATTTTGAATTTTGGCGCCTTTTGGTGGGAAATATGTCCATTTGCCCTGTTTCAACTGTTTGGAGCTCTGTTTAGCTGCTGAACCTCATTTTTGAACGTTATCACTATAAAAATGCTTGTTATGAGCCTGAGTGCTGATCCTACTCTGAAATTAACCTGCAAAATAAAATCGGTCGCTTGATCGTTGGGCAAATAAATGCCCTAGCCTAGGGATGGCAAAAAAGCCCGTGCCCGCGGGTATCCGCGGATATAATCCGTCACGGATACAAAGTGGATAGCTTAATGGATATCCATGGATAAAATAAATGGATACTTAAATATCTGTTATTTAATGGATGTGGATGTGGGTTTAATGATACCCGTACCCGCGGATATCCATACCCGTTAATAAATTATAAAAATTATTTAAATATTTTAATTTATTATAGACGTCATTACATCTTCCAAGAAATTTAGTCTTTTCATATTTCTTTTTTTTAACGTTTTCTTGGAAGAAAAAGAAAACCTTTCACATTCCAAGAAAAATCATATTTAGTCATTTTATATTTATTTAGGCTTCTTTTATATTTTAGACCTAACATCTCTTTCACTTTCACAATTCCACTGTCCAACTCCAACCCAAAGAACCAGTACCGTCTTTTCTCTATCCAACACTGCAACTCAGAGTCCTAATTTCCTAAATGATTAATGTAATCTATCTACCTTGTTACATTTTGTTCTTTTTCTTGCTATTTTAATTTTAATTTTGGTTGTTGCAACACTGAAGTAGTAATAGGTGGGGCTGCAAAATAGTTTTTTATTTTAAGGCAATTATAATGCAAAATACTAAACCCTAAACTAGTAAAAAGAAGAAGCACTATATACATTCTTTTTCGTTTCATTGATATAAAAATGATATTCATGTGTGCCTATTCTTTCCATCTATAGGCTCTTTTATTTATTTCTATATTCATGTGTTATTAATATATGTAATGAAATATAATCATACTATATCAAGTAAATGATAATTTTTTCTCATTATAGGTTTTCTCATATCTACGTTATGCATCTTTATAGGTTTCTTTGTTTTTTTATTTTAATGTAAACGTTTCACCATTATTATAATATTAATATTGTTATAGTTAATACTTTTTAATTATTAATTTATATTTTTAATTGCTATTATTCATTATCTCTTAGTTTTTTTTCCGGTTCAAGTTTACCGTTGATAATTTGGACCACAATTGTTATACAGTATTGAATATTTATATTGATATTAAAACTATCACATTAATACAGTATTGACAAATTTATCTTTTTTTTTTGTAGAATGTCTTTTGAACAAAACTTTACTCCTATAGAAGTTATGCAAGAGAATTTGGCAGTCTCAAACGCAGATGAGTCTAACGTTGTTGCTTCAAATGGTCCGAATGTAGAAATTAATTCAACTCCTAATGAAATTGAAAGTCCTATTTCATGTGAAGTTGACACTGAAGGTCTTAAAAGAAAGCTAACTTCTGAAGTTTGGAACCATTTCAAAAGGCAAAAAATAGATGGAAAGTTGGAGACCATTTGTAACTATTGTGGTGCAAAACTCTTGGGTGTTTCAAAACAAGGAACGTCACACTTAAAATCACACATTAAGTCTTGTCCACGTTGAACAAATTGAGATATAAAGCAAGCTTTGATAAAAACTGAACAAGTCGATGGTCAAACTGTAATGGTAGGTTCTTATGCGTTTAACAAAGACATGGCAAGGTATGGTGTTGCTAAGATGATAATTCTTCATGAGTATCCTCTAGCAATGGTTGAACACATTGGTTTTAGAGAATTTTGTGCTTCTATGCAACCTCTATTTAAGGAGGTTTCTCGTAACACTATCAAGAATGACATCATGAAAATTTATAACGATGAGAAAGAGAATACCATGAAGTTGTTGTCAAAGAATCAAAGTCGTATTGCAATCACCAGTGATATGTGGACTTCAAGTAACCAGAATAAAGGCTATATGAAAGTTACAGCTCACTTTGTTGATGATTCATGGACCCTTCAAAGTCGACTTGTAAGGTAATAACAGTAAATTATTTTGATTTTTTTTTGTGTATAATGTTATTAATATTGTTCTTGAAAATTTAATTTATGTTAGGTTCATTTATGTGTATGCTCCTCATACTAGCAAAACACTAGCTGATACCTTGATTCAATCTTTGATGGATTGGAACCTAGATACAAAGTTGTCCACAATGATTGTTGATAATTGTTCTACGAATTATGATATGATTGAATGCATTTTAAATAAGATTACACCTAGGTCATTGATATTGGGTGGAAAATTGTTTCACATGCGGTGTTCTGCACATATATTGAATTTAATTGTGAAAGAGGGTTTATCCATAATCTCTAGTGCCATTGAGAATATTAGAGAAAAAGTTGTCTTTTGGACAGCAACCCCTAAAAGAGAGGAGAAATTCATAGAGACATGTGGTCAAGTGAACATTTTTTATGATAAAAATTTGGTTCAAAATTGCAGAACTAGGTGGAATTCTACATTCTTAATGCTTAATGTTGCCATACAATATAAAGATGTGTTTGGTCGATTGGCAAAACGAGATACTCAATATAAAACCTTGCCTAGTGAAAATGAATGGATGAAAGCAAAAGAAATTTGTAAAAGGTTGGAAGTTTTTTATGATGTTACACAACTATTTTCTAGTACCAAGTATCCAACTGCAAATGTTTATTTTCCCAAAGTATGTGAAATGAAATTGGCTTTAGTTGAATGACTTGGTTATATTGATTGTGTCATTAAAGACATGGCTTCAAGTATGCTTTCTAAGTTTGACAAATATTGGAAGGTGGTCAATGGAGTGATGGCAATAGGCATTGTGTTAGATCCAAGGTACAAAGTTGATTTGTTAGATTACTTTTTTCCTCTAATTTATGGAGATGAAGCTGATAATGAAATTGAGAAGGTAAAATCTTTGTTTCAAAATATGGTAATTGAGTAATTGAGTATAATTTAGGAGAAAGAGAATGTTTCTTCATCCTCAAATCAAACTCAAATTGTGTCTGATGCAATTGTTGTTGGCAAAAAAGAAGCTTGGAGGTCTAATTTTGCAAAACATGTCAGTGCAAAAAAAAAAGTGTCACGTCTAGTAGGTCAGAATTTGACGGATATATAGAGGAGAAAGTGTTACCGGATGATGAAAATTTTGATATCTTAGGTTGGCGGAAGGTTAGTGGATTAAAATATCCAATCTTGCAAATGATTGCAAGGGACTTCTTAGCAATTCCTATTTCAACGGTTGCTTCCAAGTCTTCTTTTAGCACAAGTGGTCGGATTCTTACTCCTCATCGTAGTAGATTGCGTTCGGATACTTTAGAGGCATTGATGTGTGTCCGAGATTGGCTATGGACTGATGTGAAAGGTAATCAATTTTATAACATGTTTTTATTACAGTGATTAATTATAATAAATTATTATTTGACATATTTTTATTACAGTGATTAATTATAATAAATTATTATTTGACATATTCTTATTTCTTTTCAGGTTATACCAAATCAAAAGTTGAGGTTATTGAAATTAATTCAGTATTGGAAGATATGTATGTGTTTCCCTTGAAAATCGCAAAACAACCGTTGATCTTCCAAATTTGACTTTGGTGACTCACAGGATCGATCAGATTGATCCTAGGACATGTGCTAAAGTATTCTATGTTTAGAATTAAATTTAAAGTACTTGTAATAACGAATTGGTAAATGTGCTTGTAATGAAAAAGACTTTAACTGGGTATTTTAAAGTGCATAAACTTAAAGAAACGCTGTAAAAGATTTGTAAAAGGCTGATCGAAAAAGGTAAAAAGTTTAAAGGAAAGAAGGAATTGGAGTAAAGGATGCAGGAAAGGTAAAGGCAAAAAGTAACACTTGCACAAGTGGTTCGACAGAGGAAATGTAAATGTTGCTGAAATTGTAAAAGACTTTATTGAAAAGTTGGTGATTTTACATAACATACATTCTCCGTGAAAATACTCTTTTCTCACACTCGGGTACTTTGAGTAAATTTGATTGGAGTTACTTTGTACAAATGGTAAAACACACAGAAATCTGTCTAACAAATCCCTATTTATAATGCTAATAATTAACTTCTAATAACTTCCTAGTATCTCCTCGATCTAACAAGTGTCAATTGCATGTAACTTCCTACTCTAGAACTCGCCACGTGTCTTATGAATAAAACCGCTCCCTTCAAATTTTGAATTTCAAAACGACGTAGCAATCCTCCTGCAGAATTTCGGTCGAACGACCACTGACACGGTCGAAATGCTCATAACTTTAGGTTCCTTAATTTTCTAAGTTATTTCAACTGTTTAGCTTAGAAGATTCCTTAGAGGCTATCGAAACCTCTTTACTTCATTTTACTTAGACATTAATTATGTCTTAATGTTTAGCAACCCAAGGCAGTATCGAATTTGGGAGCTAACAAATTGCCCCCAAAGAATGTTCTTTTCGACCTTATCGTAGGAAAAGGACATTTTTTGATAGTATCCCATTCGACACCATCTTTTCGATACTATCCTACCCTTTGGTTTGCCTCTTATCCTTTGGAAGATAAAACAGAAGAAAGAGAAATGTTTATATTAAAAACCACGCCACTTTGCACGCTTCTGACGTCATCATCATCATGGCAGGTTTCTTGGAACTCACAAAAATCCAGAAAACATCATCACCCTTTTAGCGCCTAGGAGTATATGTTACAACCTCCCCTTACCTCTTCCGCTAGGTGGCACACGTGGCCCACTAACTTCAACCACGTAAGAATTCTTAATTTTCTGAATACTTATAAAATCACCAAGAGTTTTTTCATCAAGACTTTCTACTCTTTATCAACTTTTACTCTTCTCCTCTTTGCTGAAGAAACACATTTTTTCCAACAAAAGAAAAATCTCCCTTTTCTCTGAAAACCTTCAATCATGGCTGAACAACAGAAGAAAACTCAAACTAGGAGACCATCTTCTTCATCTGCATTGCCACCTTTCGCTACCTTGAGCGGACCAAAAATCACGAAGAACCAACAGCTCATCAGGGAACCGTTAGCAGAAGAAAAACGACACATCTACGAATCTCAGGTAATCATCCCCGTTGATGTGGCTGGAAAAACCTTAGCCATGTTTGGCCCATTGTCACCCCCAGACCTTGATTATTCCACCTTGAGTGACTTTTTCCCTTCTTATCGGAAAACCAAACCCTTAGGGAAAAAAGATGCTAGCAAAATCCCTTCTGATAAACCAGATGACCTTTCTCTCTTTAATGTGGACCTCAAATATTTGCATGATGGAGCAAGACTCTTTAGAGCTACGCCGTACTTCAAAGATTCTGAACTTTACCTTAACTGGCTGGCAAAAATAGAGAAAGCAAAGGCACAACATTGGAAAGAAATAGGTATTTATGACCTAATCATGCTGTCGAAGGTTGGGTCACCTTATTATCCGTTAATGCTGGCCTCCTCTTTGTATTTCTGGGACAGCACTCACCATACCTTCCATCTTCCCTGCGGAATGGTGACTCCCACGCTCTTCGACATGGCTGCTATTGTCGGATTAAAACCGTGTGGATTGGCTTACAATCCTGAAATTGATGCACGGGACACCATAGGTTTTGGTAGTACGAAACATACTTACACACCCTTCATAAATAATTATCACAAGAAAGACACCGACGTAGTCGAAGACGAGGAGCACATAGCCTTTCTGGCTATGTGGTTGTCTCGTTGTATTTTTTACACAAAGTCCTTGCAGGTGGCGAGGAAGTACCTTACCCTGGCGAATCAGTTACACCTTAAAAGGGACGTATGTCTCAGTGAAATGATACTAGCCAGCCTGTATGAGGCTTTAGGAGAAGACGCTGATAAACTAAGGGATCCGAAAACTCATGGCGCTCTTATAATGGCAGGGCAATTTTGGTTGCTTCAATTATGGTTGAACGCTACCTTCGAGCACAACCTTCCCTTCAAAGGAGAGGTCGACGAAGCCCAAGTATCTGAACGTCGGGTCGAATGGCCACGCTTGGTTCAGTTGACACCAAGTGAAGAGGGTCGAAGCCTTCGTGCCAATCTTACCAGCTTCATCCACTTGTTTGCAAAAAGGCATGAATTCACTCCCAGGATGGCCCCTTTTGCTCATAGGTTGTATGGCCCTGAATGGTTCACCAGGTCATTTCCTCCAGTTTCGCAAAAACACGAAGCAGAATCAAACCTGATATGGGAGAGATTCTTGACGCCACGCTTGATTGTTCATAAGCTTAACCTTGTCAGAGGACAAGCAATATTAGTCGCTTATCAACCTAACTTGGCGTCGAGGCAATTTGGGTTAATTCAATCATTGCCTAGGTGCTTGTATGATAAGAAGTATCATGTTATCCTTCTCTCCACTAACTTCAACCCACTTGAGTGTTCGACTCAAATGGCCCGTTATGCCCATAAGTCCCATTTTACTCCAATTTATTTTGAACCCTCTCACCTTTGTACCCCAGATTTTTACAACTGGTGGACCAATCATTACTCCAACAATTTTCTTGATGTTTCAAGTTTTTCACGCTTGATTGATCAGGCTTTTATTGATGTGCAGGAAAAGGTCAAGAAAGGTATGTCTACTCATATCA